TAAACTCTAGACTCCACCACCAGGTTGTCCTCCTCTGGACAAGTTCTAGCTTATCAATGACTTTCCTAGAATAAGACATTCAGAAGTAAACACAATATTCCAGTTGTGGTCAGAACAAGAGAGACCAGAGCAGAACTATCATCTCCCTAGTGCTTGGCACACTGCCTCTCAGTATAGTCCATTAAGTCAAATTAATCCTCCTAATGTGTAGCTAATCATGTCACTCTCCTATTTGATAAACCTCAGTGACTCCCTATCACCTCCAGGATCAAATATAAAATCCTCTGTTTGGTATTCAAAGCCCTTGGCAATCTGGCCCTTTCCTACCTTTCCAATCTTCTTACACCTTTTCAATCCATGTACTCTGTGATGCAGTGACAGGCCTCCTTATTGTTCCTTGAACAAGATACTTTCAGACTACAGGCATTTTCCCTCATGCCTGGAATATTCTTCCTCCATACCTTCTGGCTTCTCTGGCTGCCTTAAAGTCCCAACTAAAATTCCACCTTCTACAATAAGCCTTAATTATAGTGCCTTCCCTTTGTTGATTATTTCTAATTGATTCTGTATATATTTTGTGTGTACATAGTTGTTTACATGTTTTCTATTCTGTTACACTGTAAGCTCCTCAAGGGCAAAGACTGTCTTTCAAATATCTTTGTAGCCTCAGCACTTAGCACAGTGCCTGACACTTTTGTCATTTGTCCTTCATCTTCAAAGAGAACCAATGATGTCACAAGGTGATGTCTTGATTCCTGCATAAACTGGATTTAAGTGAGGCAGAGCTGCAGAGTCATCAGCCTCTCTCTTCCAGTCATGAAATTGAAGTCCAGGAGCAAGACAAAAGTCAGGACAACTGGCGATGGCCCATGATGCAGTGTCTTTGATGTCTGACCAAGCTCTAAATACGACACAGCTTTTGCTTCAGCCTCCTTCGTGGCTATTAAAACAAATTGTTCTCATCCACCCATTCCGCCAGGTAAAGTCTTCATATGCTTGGGTTTGACATCCCCCTAATTCTCCAACAGAATGCTTATTGGCTGACTGCAATCCAATATTGCACTCACTTTCCTGGCCTCCAAACCACACAATTCATTTGGAGCTCTCAGTCCAACAAAGCCTCCCAGATCCTTTCCAGATAAACTGTTGCCTCTCAAGCAACACCTCACCCATCCTACTCTTATGAAGTTGATTTTTTTAATCCAAGTGTAAAGAATTACACTTAGCCCTTCAAAATTTCATTTTATTATTTTTAACAGAATGTTCTTTTAAAATTCTGATTCCATCATTTCATGTGTTAACCATGCCTTCCAGCTTTGTGTCAGCTACAAATTTAATAATCATGTCAGCTATGCCTTTATCATGTCACCGATAAAAATATTAACCAGAACAAGTCAAGGACAGATCCCTGGAGCATTCCACTAGAGAGTTCTTTCCAAGGTGACATAAAGTAATTAATTAATAAGCGCTTTGAAAGGTTGACCATTCAAAGAATTCAGAGCCGCCTAATTGTACTATCATCTAGCTCCAACTTTTCTGCAGGAATAACATAGTGACCTTTGTCAAATGCTATTTTAAAATCTTGGTAAACTACTTCCTATACCTCCTAGTTATTTGACCATGGACAAGTCAATTAACTTCTCTGATATTCAGCTTCTCTTTCTGTAAAAGAATAAAACTACCTAGAGCATCTACCTCACAGAGTTGTTGAGGTAATATACGAAAAGTGCTCTGCAAACTTAAAAGTCCTATAAATGTTGGTTATTATTATGAAGCCATGATGGCTCTTTGTGACATGTTGTTGTTGTTCAATCATTTTCAGTCATGTCTGACTCTTCATGACTTCATTTGGGGTTTTCTTGGCAATGATACTGAAATGGTTTGCCATTTCCTTCTCCAGCTCATTTTTCAGTTGAGGAAACAGAGGCAAACAGGGTTAAGTGACTTGTCCAGGGTCACACAGCTAGTAAGTGTCTGAGGGTGGATTTGAACTGGGGAAGATTCGTTTTCCTGGTTCCAAGCCCAGAACTCTATCCACTGTGCCATCTAACTGCCCCTTCTTTGTGATGTTCTCTTTCTCATATATTCACTATCTCTTTATTAATCTGTTTTAATAATAATAATAGCTAACATTTATATCATGCTTACTACATTCCAGATACTTTGCAAAGCACCTTACAAATATTATTTCATTTGATTTTCACAATAGCCCTGGGAGGTGAGTGTTATTATTATTGCCATTTTACATATTAGGAAACTTGAGGCAAATAGAAATTAAGTTACTTGCTCAGGGAAACATAGCTAGTAACATCCAAGGCTGTGTTTGAACTTATATTCCAGGCTCCAGGCCCAGCACTCTAACCACTACACCACCTAGCTGCCCCTACAGTGTGTTTATATCAAAGTCAAGCTTACTGGCATAAAATCAAAGGATGATCGATAGATGGATAGATAGAAAGATAGATAGGCAGATAAAGCATTTGTTAAGCATCAATTACGTACTAGGCACTGAGCTAAGAGTTAGCTATACAAACACAAACAAGCAAGATAGTGTCTTCCCTCTAGGGGAGCTTGTATTCTAATAGGAGAAGATAACACATAAAGAGTTGGCCAGATACAGGGACTGTCTTGCTTGCTTGTATCTGTGTCCCCAACACTTAGCATAGTGCCTGGAACATAATAAGCACTTAATAAATGCTTTTTCAATCTATCTAACTAAATGTAATGAATAATTTTTGTCCCAAAGAATTAATGGTAAAACACAATCCTGTTCTTTCAGTAGAGGGTTCAGGTACTATAGACGTGGAATATAGAATACCCTATCAGTTATGATCACTGTATCAGGTAGTTTCCCTTAAATGTTTTTCTTTGTTATAAGGAAGAGTTCATTGTGGGAGCAGGTTAAGAAGAAATGAATGAGATGTGAAAACAAAATACAAAAATAAAAATAAAACTTTTAAAAAGTAATTTTAATGCTCCAAATTAATAATAAGAGAGGGGTACAAATTAAAACAGAAAGTTTCACCTTATACTCAGAAAGTTGGCAGCAATGATAAAAGATGCAAACAATCAGTGTTGGAAGAGCTATAGGAAGACAGGCATGATAATACCCTGTTGGTAGAACTGTGAGTTAGTACTACCATTCTGGAACAATTTGGAATAATGAGAGAAAAGTCATGCAATTGTTCATGCCCTTTAAACTAGCAATCTCAACACGGGGTGTATACACCAAGGTCAAATACAGAGGTATATCAAAATATTCGAAGCAGCACTTTTTGTAGCAACAAAAATCTTAAAACAAAGTAAGTATCCATAGATTGAGAAATAACCTGAACAGATTGTATCATATGAATATAACAATATTATTGCACCTTATGAAATGAAAAGGATGAGGAATTCAGAGAAACCTGGGAATACTTTATGAATGGACTGATGCAGAGAAAAGAAATCAGTGCCAAGAGAATAATATCACAATAACTACAACAAAGTGAGGGGAAATAACACTAAAAGGCCCAAAAATTCAGAGTAATGTAATGACCTCTTGATTCCAGAAAATGGATAAGAAAAAAAAAATTCCCTCTTCTTACTAAAGAGGAAGTGGACTATGAATGCAAAATATTTCATATGCTTTCACACACAGTTAATGCATCAATTTGTTTTGCTTAGCTGTTTATCTTTCAAGAGAAGGGTCTGTGATAGCTTAGAGAGTATAGGGAAATGATGAAGTAAGAAAAGTTTTTAAGATTTTTTTCCAACAATACGGGAAAATAGATTAGAATAACCAGATCCATAGAATGTTGCTTAATGGTCCAATGTCAGCCTGGAAGGACATTTCTAATATAGTGCTATAGGGTAGTGTTATCTTGATTCTGCTTAAGATTTTAATCAATGATTTAGATGAAGTCGTAGATGGCATGCTTTTCACATTTGTAAATAACACAGAGCTGGGAGGGATAGATTTCGGGTAGGATGAGAGAATCAACATACAAAAAGTTCTCCACAAACTTAAATGATAGATTATATCAAGTAAAATGACATTTAATGGAGATAAATGTCAAGTTATACACCTGAGTTAAAAAAAATTACTACAATAAAATACATGATGGAGAATACATAACTAGAAAGCAAAGAAATAAGCATTTATTAAGCACCTACTATGTGCCAGGCACTGTAGTAGGCACTTTACAAATATTATCTTATTTGATCCTTACAACAACCCTAGGAGGTAAGTACTATTATTATCCCCATTCTAAAGTTAAGGAAACTCAAGCAAACTAAGAAATTTGTCCAGAGACGCATAGCTACTACATATCTGAGGCCTGATTTGAACTAACATCTATTCTGACTGTAGGCCTACAGCAATTAATGTGAAAAAGGCATGGATTTTAGTGTACTGAAAGTCAGTAGGAGCCAACAACATATCATAGTTTACACACACACACACACACACACACACACACACACACACACACACACACACACACAAGCTAATGTTTTTCTTCTTTATTTTTTCCCAGTGGAAGTGGTAGATGAAAGGAAAGGAGAAGGGAGAGGGCTAAGATAACATAGCAGGGAAAGATCATTGAAGCAACTTTTTTTAAAATGTGCAGATGAGAACAGAAAAAGACCAGGGGGAATCACAGACAAGTGGGATAGCTTTGAAAGTTACATGCCGAATTTACTGTGTATTTGAAGAAAAAAAACAATATGTACCTTACAGAAATCTGCAGTTTCATGTATAATCCCTCTTCGGTTATACCATTTATAACATGTACTTAATTCCCCTCCTGTCACATAAGTATGTGGAAATGCTCGTTTTATTTGGTGTTTGTTCAATTCAGGATTTTTTTTAAAAAGTGACTTTGCATCCGCTTTCTCCCCTTCCATCTAGATCTTTTACAAAAGCACCTGCTAAGTGCCTACAGTCTCTCTGCTTCATTGTTTCAACCTCTATAACACTTGCTTGTTCCGCCTGTTTGGAGGTAAGTCCAACCTGACTCCATTGATATGTAGCTCCCTCCGTAATTGCCCCTCCCGGACCCGCCTCCTTGGCCCCAGGGGCTTTAGAAGCTCGGGGTTCTCTGGCTAAACTGAGAAGGTCTCCGCATTCCTGCTGGTCTGGAGACAGACGCCTTGCAGATTCCCAGCCTCTGCAAGAGTGCTCAAGAGAACGGTAGGGGATGCGGTGGCTTAGAAAACCGGGCCGGGATGTTTTTACCTTTAATTGTCTCTTATTTTGGGTGGTGGGCCAGAGAACAGGACGTCTAGAACTTACTTATCCGCCCAGCCCTTCAGTGAGTGGGGGGCTGGTCGAAGGTTCTCTCACTCAGGAGTGAGCAGGGAAGTGGTTCAGGGAACTGAAGGTGGCTGTGCCCTGCTGCTGAAGATGACCCTAGACGGGGGCGGGGGGTGGAAGGGAAGAGAGCGGTGGGAAAGGTACTGGGCTGGACAGGGAGAACGGGATGGCAAAGCGCCGTTACCTCTCGTGCCAGGAAAGGACAGAAAGGAAAGCTTCGGGTGCGGGAGCCCAGCGGAATGAACCAGGGAGGAAGAAAGACCTGCCAAAGCCTTGCTCAATCTGAGCGTGTCACTCCTCTGTCTCCCTGATCATAGGATCATAGATTTAGAGCTGGGAGCAACCTTAGAGCCTCTCGAATCTAGCCCTTTCATTTTACAGATGAGAAAACTGAGTCCCAGAGAAGTTAAGCGACTTCCCCAGGGTGGCACAGCTAGTGTCTCTGAGGTGTGATTCGCATTCAGGTCTGTCTGATTCGAATTCAGGTCTACTTGATTCGCAGTCAGGGTTTCCTAATTCCATTCCTCATTTTGGGAAACTGAGCACCAGAAAGGGGAAACTACTTACTTAAGGTTACATGAGTCATTAAGTGACAGTCAGAACTTGAACTTAGGTCCTCTGTTACAAATCCAATGCCCAAAGGGCAATTCTAGATCTGATAATTTTTTCCTTATTACACAATGGGAATCCAAATTATTGGTAGTAACTCCTACTTCTCTCACCAACCCTTTGCAGAAGAGAAAAGGAATGATTAATGATTTGGATTTTAGACATATGTGTGTCCTTTCTAGACTATGCTCTTTGTCTCCATAATATTTATTTAATTATATTTGGCTATTTACTTGTTTGATTTGGAATCGGGAAGACCTAGGCTCAAATATTACCCAAGACATTTATTTACTAGTTGGTCTGCCCTGGACAAGTTATTTAATTGCTCTAAGCTTCTTCTTCATCATGAATAAAATGAGGACAATAATAGCACAGACTTCACTAGATAATTGTAAAGAACAAATAAGATATGTAAATAAAGCAACTCATAAATCATAAATTGTTTTATAAATGGGGGCTATTGTTATTATTGTTCTCACAATATTTTCTTTAAATCAAGGGGTAAATTCCAATGAGCTAAGTTGTTGTATTTTATGTTTTTTAAGGCAGCTAGATGGTACAATTGTTAGAGCACAGGACCAGAAAGATCTGAGTTCCAATCCAGCCTCAGAAATTTACTAGCTATATGACCCTGGGCAAGTCACCTAACCTCTGTCTACCTCAAAAAATATCCTAATGTGTAAAATGTGGATAATAATAGCACCTACTTTCTGTGGTTGTTGTAAGGATAAAATGAAATAACATTTGAAAAGCCCTTTGCAAACTTTAGACCACTATGTAAATGCTGGTTGTTTTTATTACTGCCTGCATAACTTTAACCCAAATTTTTGAATGTGTTCCATGTGAGCAGAAGTGTTAAGGACTTAGTGGTACCTGCAGTGAGATGGAAGGTATTTAAGGTTGAGAGAGCTTCCTAGAAAGCCATTTGCAAGTTCCTAAAAGCAGCTCTTATTTTTTAGTGTTTTAATAGACTAGCAGAGTGTCTTCAACATGCTGTCTCCTTATGAAAGATGATGGTCATTCAGTCAACAAGAAGAGAGTATGGGATGCCCCTTATTGTAGAAAAAGTTCTCTGTTTCCATAGATCAATGGCAATAATTTAGTAAAATCCAAGAAACAGCTTTTCGAAGGTATTAGGGAGCATCATAGCAGCAAAGGTGAGAAAGGTGACTCTCTGGGAATGGCACAGCTGGGGACCTGGACTATCCCCTTTAAGTTATATTCAATTCAATTAAACAGAATTTATTAAGCACCTGTTGCATGCAAGGCACCATGCTAGATGCTAAATATGCAAAGACAAAAATGAAACCACTCCCTGCCCTCAAGGAACTCGTTTTCTATGACTTTACTAGTTCAGAAAGGTGACTGGAGAAGCACATTGACCTGAAGAAACTCAAGAATATTTGAGGAATGGGCTTCTTAGTGATAGGCACTATGTTTAACCTATATCAGATTGCTTACCCTCTTGGAAGGGGAGAGGGAAGGGGGTGAGAAAAATTTGGAACTCAAAATCTTATAAAAAATGAAGGTTGAAAACCAACTTTACATGTAATTGGAAAAAAAATACCATGTACATTTTAAAAATATAATAGGTGCTAATAGCTATCATTTATATAAGACATCAAGATTTGCAAAGCACTTTACATACATAAAGTTTAGTGAACGCCCAGATCCCTTAATATGGAGGCACCCACAAATGGGAATTTACCCTACCCCCATTTTTCATATATTGTCTCATACAACAACCCTGTGAGGTAGTTGCTTATGCTGTGATGTACCCATTTGGAGAGTGAGTTCTTACCCTTTATGTGGTTGTTTTATGCAAAACGGGAACATTCTTGAAGTTTGTTCAGTGTGAAAAATTTAGTGGTACATACAATATTAAAGCTCTTTATTATAAGATACATTCTCTCCCAAAGAAATCTGAAGAGAGATATTTGATTTTGACCAGCACAACATAGGTAGTAGTCAAGAATATTTGCTTCTTGAGGGTAGAAGTTGTTTCACTTTCTGTCTCTGTGTCCCCAGTACCTAGAATAGTTCCCCATTACATACTAAGAGTTTAATAAATGCCTTTAGAATCAAAGAATTGACTTGCTCATTTTGAGAAGTTGAAGACAGATCTCAAAAGATAAATTTGTAAATGATTTCTGTATACCTTCCAGATAGTAATTCATCCGTTGTGTTTTAAAATCTTCTAAGGCTCAATGATAAACAAACTAATGGACTATGGGGCTGCCCTGGTGAGGCAAGACCAGAGGCTGTCTTGTCATTCAATTGTGTCCAACTCTCCATGACCCCATTTGGGGGTTTTCTTGGCAAAGATACTGAAGTGGTTTGACATTTCCTTCTCCAGTTCATTTTGCAGATGAGGAACTGAGGCAAACAGTTAAGTGACTTGCCCAGGGTCACACAGCTAGTAAGTGCCTGAGGCCAGATTTGAACTCAGGAAGATGAGTCTTCCTGATTCCAAATCTAGTGCTCTATCCACTGCCCCACCTGCCAGACATATAAGGCCATCAATTAAAAAAAAAAGTTAAAACATTCAAGATATTTTCATTATTTGTTCGTTTCTAAAAGTTGGGCCCTCCTTACAAAACACAAACATAAGATTATAAGATACTAAAATAAATAATATTTCATCTGTAGTATACAGTATAAAATGACCTCTATTTGCATTGTATTCCCCTCTTACAGTGTAAGCTCCTTGAGGGCAGAGGCTTTCACTTTCATATTTGCATCCCTGGCACCTAGCACAATGCTTGGAAATTATGTAAAAGTTTGTTTATTGATTTATCTTCACTTTCTATTTCATCCAAGAACGTTGATTTCTAAGAGTAAGTTTGGCAGGGAATTTCAGGATTGTTTGTGGAAGACCTGAAGTGGCTATTTAGAAAGTAGCAGGAACAGAAAAGTTCACCTAGACAGGAAAAAGAGAAAGATCAATAGCTGATTTTAGGAGAGTGAACTCTGGTAGCTTTTTTTTTACCATTAGAGCCCTGTGCAGAAATATAACTGTCTTCAGGAAGTCTTCTTCAGTATGAACCATATCGAAATGCATCTGTTTGTTTGGAATATTAGTCAGGCACAGAACTGTTGTCATCTGTTCAATATCTATCTGCCACCATGAGTTATCACTGGGCTGTAAGTGTTTCTTCTTCTTAAAGCCATCAAGTCAGGAGTATAGAACTCCATTATTGCTGAAAAAAAAATCTGTTGTATCAATTCAGTAGTTTATGGCCTCCATCTCTCTCTCTCTCGCTCGCTCTCTGTCTTTCTCTTTCTCGCTCTCTTTCTCTCTCTCCCCTCTCTCTCCACACACACACACACACACACACACACACACACACACACACAGAGTTGATGGATACCCTTTGTAGTGAGTATAGATATAAATATGATCCTAATTCTTTTTCAGATCCTCAAACTATTTGCCTCATTGCTTTCTTAAGGTAATGATTCCACAAGCTGGCTATTTAAGGTTTTTCCCTTTCCCTCTAGGGAACTGTCCTTTTCTCTCTTGGAATCATTGTCTAATAAAACCAGATACATATTGCCCATCTATATTGTGAATGGTCAACATAGCCACTATTTTAAATCTTGGGTTGCTCCCATCCTTTTCTGTCTGCATCAGTTCAGTAGTCTGAAGACTTTTTTAGGTGATGGTAGTAGCCATCCTAGAGCTCCATGATATACTGTTAGGTACTTTGTTCATTGTGCTCACTCTAGACACAAAGGCATCAAGGAAGCAGGACCAGGCAATGGGTAACAAGCCTAGATTGAAAAGAAGTTAAGAATCTTAAACAAGCCAGATAGGCAATAAGATAAGTTCACCTATAATTATGGTGTCTAGTACTGAGGGAATTGAGGGGTTTAGGACAGCAAGTGGTTAATTGTAGGAACTGAATGAAGCACACTGACTCCATCTTGTGACTCAGTTTTGGCACTAGCTCAGTTCCATTTCTATTCAATTATGGGTCTAGTCCAAATTCTGTCTTGTGAGAAAACTTAATTCAGTTGTGGGAATTGGGAGAAAATCTCATTGTATTGTTTGAACCTAGCCCTGCAAGACTGGGAAACTGGACCACCTCTACCTGCTGCTTAGAAACCTTTAACCAAGGACCTAGGTTATGCTCACTAGAAACTCAGATGCAAAGATTGATGTAAGGAGTTTTCTCACAATCATACATCTCAAGCAACCTATAGGTCATATCTGAAAACTGGCCTCATATTGATCAATCAGTTATAGTTTCCATGTTCCTCTGATTGTTTACAGACATTTGGGGAATGGGACACCTCCTTTTCTGATTTGAGGAAACTGTACCTGTTCAGTCATCCCCTCCTAACTTGGAAAGTCCCTGATCTTTACTCCAATTAGAAATCAAATTACCTAATGCTGTATTGTTTCCTTTTAATTAATTGGCCTTATTTTATTAATTGTTTTAATACCCCTGTATTTGGGGTCCAGTCCTAAGCTAAGAAGATCTGGTTCCGGTTTGATGGGCAATTGGCATGTACTGCTTAATAAACCAATGTGTTTGAAAGATCAAACCTTTGTTTTCCTCAGTCATGTCATCTTTCACCCACCACGATAGGCAGATAGTAGTCAAAAACAAAGTGTCAGAAACAAATAAATGGTGCTAGGGCAAATTTTGGAGGCTGTATAATCAAGGCAGTAAGCTGATATGAGGGGGAAAACTTGGATTTAGAGTTAGTATATCTAAGTTAAAATCTTGGTTTTACTATTTACTATCTACTGTGTAACTTTGGGTGACAGTATGGCATAGCAATAGCATGCTTCCTGGAGTCAGGAAGACCTGAATTCAAATCTCATTTTGGAAACTTACTAGACTTCGTGTAAAACACATCTCTGAGCTTCAGGAAACCTTCTAAGACTTATCTGTTAAGTTATAGGCAACTTTTGATCTGTTAATAGAGTGAGTTCCAGATCTTTGAGGCATTGATGAAAAGTCTCTGGGCCTCAGTTTCCTCATCTATAAAATGAAAGAGCGGAACTTTTATGATTTCTAAGACTCTTTCCAATTCTAAAACCTATGATTCTAAAGTGAAGGCTATCTTCAGTAGTCAAGGGGACAAGACTATCTTGTCAAGACAATGGAACATGGAAAATTGAGGCAATTATCTGAATAACCTAAATAAAAATTTTAAAAAACCTAGAACTTTTTCTTTAATTACCTGGCTGCTTCTGGAAAGTGAAACTATACTATAAAGCTTTAATCATCAAAACAATTTGGTGCTGGTTAAGAAATAGAGAGGTTGATCAGTTGAACAGATTAAATATACAAGATATAGAAGCAAATGAACACAGTAATCTACTGTTTAAACCCAAAGATCCCGACTAATAGAGTAAGAACTCACAATTTGACAAAAACTTTCAGGAAAACAGGAAAAGCAGTCTGGCAGAATTGGGTATAGACCAACATTTCACATGGTTATACAGGGTGACATCATAAACAAATTAGAAAGCAAAGAAGAAATTACCTGCTGAATCTATGGATAGAGGAAAAGTTCATAATCAAATAAGAGATAGAAAGGACCACAGAAGGCATGATGGACAATTTTGATTACATAAAATTAAAAGAGTTTTTGCACAAACAAAACTAATTCAGCTAAAAATAGAAAAGAAGCAGGTAAATGGGGGGAATCTTTGCAGAAATTTCTCTAATAAATGTTTCATTTCTAGGATATATAGGAAACTGATTCAAATTTATAAGAATAAAAGCCAGGGGCAGCTAGGTGGTGCAGTGGATAGAGCTACGGTCTTGGAGTCAGGAAGACCTGAGTTCAAATCCAACCTCAGACACTTAACACTTGCTAGCTGTGTGACCCTGGGCAAGTCACTTAACCCAGATCACCTCTTAAAAAAAAAAAGAATAAAAGCCATTCCCTTTTGATAAATGGTCAAAGGATATGAACAGGTGATCTTCAAAGGAAGAAAACAAGCTATCAATTGCCATATGAAAAAATGCTCCAAATGACTAATAGAGAAATTCCAATTAAAACAACTCTGAGGTTCCACCTTACACCTATCATGATGACAAACTTTACAGGGGAAAAAAAAGAAAATGACAAATGCTGGAAGGGCTTTGAGAAAGCATATACATTAATGCACTGTTGTTGGAGCTATCCACCACTCCAGCCATTTTGGAAAGCAGTTTGGAACCATGCTCAAAAAGCTATTAAGCTGAGTTTATCCTTAGACCCAGCAATGTCACAACTAGGTCTATATGACAAAGAGATCAAAAATAGAGGAAAGGGGACCATATGTACAAAAGTATTTATAGTAGCTTTTTTTGTGGTGGCAAATAATTGTAAACTGAGGGGGAATCCATCAATTAGGAAATGATTGAAGTTATGGTATTTGAATGTGATAGAATATTATTGTGCTGTAAGAAATGATGGAGGAAATGCTGGAAAGAATTGTATGAACTGATGAAGAATAAAGTGAGGAAAATGGGAGAATAATTTATACAATAACAACAATAATGTAAAAACAAATAACTTTGAAAGACTTAAAAACTGATCAATGCAATGACCAATTATGAATCCAAAGGACCCGTGATGATACATACTACCTACCTCCTGACAGAGAGGTGACAGACTCAGTTTGTTTTGTCTTGCTTGACTATGCACGCTTGTAATAGGAGTTTTATTCTTTCTTTCTCAATGAGAATGAGGGGGAAGGATGGTGGAAGAGAGAAAAGGCAGATTTTTATTAATGAAAAAAAATTTTAATTTAAAATAAAAATAAATTTGAAAAGTTTCAATAAATTATCTGACTACTTCTGGAAGGGGGGGGTGTTCCTCTAGTTTTGAGTTGTCCAGATAAACAATTCAATTCTCAATCCATTTAGCATAGTAAATATGACCCCAGTGGTGGAGACTTTTATTTAAGTCACAATGTAAGTCTCAATCATATTCTTTTATGAACTCAGTTATCAGTACTAATAGAAAGGGACAGCTGTATGAATTATTAGAATCAGTACTCTTTTCTATTAGTCTGAAGAAGCCAATTCTCAGAATATGCTGGACAGAGGATAGGGATCTTGGGATGGACAAAACTAAGAAGCTACAGGTCCAAGGCAGTGATTAAGGAGCCAGGTGGCAGGTGATGAAGGGGAACCTAGGATTCAATTGAGCTTCAGGGGGATAAGAAGCCAACTATGACAATTCTGCGAATATTAGTAACAAAAGAGATCACTCGAAATATTTTATAAAAGATAGAGAGCAAGAGGATACTTAAAATCCTGGATAGATTTTGTTCTTTTCTCCTCAAAGCCAGGCTACCTTTCTATCAAAGTAAATTGGAGAATTGAGGCAATTATTTAGGTAATGCAGGAAAAATAAATGTGCTTTTATTGGAATTATCTAGGAATATATAGGGAAGTAACCAGAGTTCCTTGATAGCAAGAACTGTCCAGTTTGTATTTTTGTATCTTTAACACTTGTCCAATTACCTTGTACATAGGTATGTAACAAATATGTATTGACTTGAATTAGCTGAATTAGCTGAATACCTCTATGCTCAGCCTAGCTTTGCTAAAGAAAGGCTCGCCTCTGATTTTAGACCATTCTTTCTTTTTTGCACACAATTAAATTTTATTTAAACCTTACAAATTTGCAGAGTGGAACATTATTGTAAGATCTAATGGCAACAGTGTACAAATAGCAATGTACAACATCGTTCAAAGAGCAAATAATCAAGCAAAGTGTTATATAAAATATGACTTATAATCACCTTTGAAAAAAATCAGCTCTAACTATTCATAGAAAAACAAAAGCTAAGCAAACATAGTGAAATGGCAATTAGCATATTTTCTAAACCATGCTGTTTAAAATCACATCAATGATATGCTAGACTTCAGTATGTGATACTGTCAAAGGTGTAAAGGAAACTTTTTCCCCATGATTTACATATTATTTCATTGAGACAAATGATTATGTATCTCTTATCTTAATAATCAATTATTGAATTAGGACTAGGATTTTTTCAGAAGCCTGTACGTTCAGTCTCTGAAGGGCATTGCTGATTCAGACCCCATCCAACCTTACAAGGAATGTAATCCAAGATGGGGAAGCCCATTGTGCTTTCACAGGCTCAGGTGGGGATAAATTCTTTAATTAGATTGTTCAAGGCTGGGCAATATAGAGGTAAATGACATAACCAAGGTTACATCTCCAAACCCTCATTAGAATAGGTCCACCTCTCATTGTAATATTGATTCTCGTTCATTAATTGTTAACCAATTAGAGTTGATTACCACTGTTAGGAACACCCATTCTTCCAAGGGCATATAAACTGTGAGCCCATCACCATGATTGGTCTTTGGCATTTGAGAGTGTCACTGACCCTTTTATTAATAAAATGCTAGCATTATTAATAAAGTTATTAATTACCTAGAAATTGTCTCTCCAGCTTTTTAAATGTCACACAAGTACACATGCATTGTTGAGATCTGTATCTAAGGAAATGGGCATCTTGACTATCATTCTCCCTGTCAATGGTGGTGTCATTTAGGCCATTCTCTTGCTAAATTTCTCCAGAAAAGACAATGTAAATGCTGTCAATCTGAAGATATTTCTAAAATGCTTAAAGAAAATTCAGTTGCCAGCATTATGGTGGGATAACTGGGGCTTGGCCCAAGAGCACTGAAATTTAGAGGGTGCTTAGGGGACTTGCACTCCTCCTGCAGCATAGTTTACTACCCATTTAGCAAAAATGAGTTAAAATAGGAAGCTACCAGATAGATAGCATACTGTATCTACTCCCCAAGTAACTGCTACCCCAACTACCTTACCTTCCCCATATGGTAGCCTCCCCAGCCAATGACATTTTATATAAGACAGATATAGTAAAACAACAAAACAGAACCTTATTATGATACTGCTCAGATTCCTCTCACACAAGGAATTATCAAGTCCTTTTGGCTCTTCAGCAAGTATTGAGAACCCATTATCTTGTACTAAGTATTGTAGCTGAAGGTCCTTGGGGGTGATCCAAAGCAGATTTTCAAATTTCCAAATTAATAAATTTCCTCCAAAGAGCCCAGAACAAGGTAGAGAGCTTCCAGCAGATCGTATTTTAATGAAACATAAGCAACAAAGTGTTAAGTTTGTGAGAAGTTTAAAAAAAATCATTTGTCTCCTAGCACTAAGAGCTGAAAGCAGATAGGTTGTCTGTGATGTATACTGTAAATATGGAGTACTTTATAATTACTGCCTTTTGGAATCTTTAGGACTGAGCGATGCTCATGAAGTCCTGGTGCTTTCTCTGGCTGTTGGAATGCCAGGTGGTTCTGGCCCAGAGCATCTGTAGGGGGGAAAGAAATGGCACTAGGAGACCAAAGGCTAAACAAGTTTTATCAAATAATGTTGAAAAACTCCCTGGTTTCAGTAACAAAGGTAAGTGGGCTTCCTTCATATGTTCTCCTGAGCTTTGGAGCAAATTACTTCAGAAGTTACTTGTGCCCACCACTTTCAACTTCAAACCATTTGAACAAAAGTTTCAAGGGCCTGCTTGAAACTCAGTTTTAATTATGAGAACTACTGTATGCCAGTGCTACTACATGCATGAGCCCTCAGTCCCTATGAAATATAATCTACCTTTCTCTTCCACATAATAGGCAACCCCATGCAGCCATTTGGTCCAGAATTGTGTCAAAATTAGGAATGAGGCCCAGGATAGAAAAAGGATAGGGAAAGGCAGATATGGGGGAAATACAGTTATAATCAGAGTCATAACTAGGGGAAGGTGGCTGGGGCATGATCTCCAGGGTGCCAAAATTTCAAGTGTACTGTTAGCACTTGAAATCCCTCAACAGAATAGAAAAATTAGTTTAGCACCTAATTAACAATAATAATAGATTAAAATGAGTGCATTGCACAAATTTAAGTGAGTGCTTTCATGAGCAACCATCTCATATCGCATGTGGTAGCCTCCACACGCTTAACATTTGAAGATATGTTTCCAGGTAGCAGCTAGGTGGTACAGTGGATGAAGTGCCAGGCTTGGAATTAGGAAGACTCAACACTTACTCACTGTGTGACCCTGGGCAAGTTACTTATCCCTGTTTGACTTGGTTTCCTCATCTGTAAAATGAGCTGGTGGAAGTGGCAAACCACTCTACTATCTTTGCCAAGAAAACCCCAAATGGGGTCACAAAGAGTCAGACACAAGTCAAAAACTACTGATTTCCACAGGTACAAAAACATTAGTTACTCTAATGAAAACATTAGTTACAGTTACAAAAACATTTCTTACAGTTTCAATTGCAATTTAAAAATCAATCCATGGTAGACCTGACTTCTCCCCTGTATCAAAGCAATTTTCCAGAGGCAGAAAGGTTTTCCGATGTCCTAAACCCCAATGGAAAGGAGTATTTGTGATCAGACATATGAAACACGTCGTTCAGTCATTTCAGTCATGCCCAACTCTTCATGAACCCATTTGGGGTTTTCTTGGCAAAGATACTGGAGTGGTTTGCCATTTTCTTCTCCAGCTCATTTTACAGGTGAGAAAACTGAGGTAACTAGGATTAACTGATTTGCCCAGGGTCACACAGCCAGTAAGTGTCTGAGGCCAGATTTGAATTAAGAAAATGAGTCTTCTTACTTCAGGACCAGCACTCAATCCTCTGTGCTACCTAACTGCCCCATATAAAACGTAGTATTTCACATTTGATCCATTTGACAAGATCTGAAGTAACCTTTTAGAATCCACTTTTGAACTTTTAAAAAATAATGCATTTTTATGGCATAGCTGAACAATTATGTTTAACAATTATTCCACAGATAAAGACTGTATCCTAGAAATGGCCTTTTTGCTTGATAGTTCTGAAGATGTGGGCAATTATTATCATGAGCAACAAAAGAAATTCGTGTTGGAAACAGTGAATAAGATGAAAGGTCTACAACTAACTTCTGGGCATACCCTCCAATGGAAAATGTCCTTGCTGCAATATAGCAGTACTGTCCTCATGAAGCAGACCTTCCACAGCTGGGAGGGTCCTGAAGACTTCCAGAGCCATGTTGCATCCATCACACCCACTGGTCCTGGAGCATATATGACTTATGCCATAACTAACTTAACATGGCTGTATAAGACAGAAAGTATTCCTGGCAGTGCCAAGGTTGCAGTGCTCTTTATAGATGGAGCTAAACAAGCAAGAAACACAGATATTTCTGCAGCTTCTAGGAAGGCTAAAAACCAAGGCATCGTCTTCATCATTGTGGGATTATCCAGTGTCGCTGAGGAGACAGCCAGTGCTGCTATACTATATCGCCTTGCCAGGGTCCCTGCCTCACAAGTTGTCTTTAGTCTACAGGAGAAAGAAGTTGTGGAAAAGGTTCTTAAAAAAACAGTATGTACCAGCCTTATTCTTTTTCAACATATTGCCCAACTTGTTTTTTTTTAAATATATTTTAATAACCATATTTCAATATAACTGATTTCCCATGTGTTACTATTTTAGTAATCCTCTTTTGTAATATGCACTTTAAAACCTTATTCTGAGGAGTCTGTAGGCTTCCCAAACTGCCAAAAGGGTCCACGACCTAAAGAAATATTATAAACATCTACACTAATAAAAGCTGCCTTGCAGTTTCTTAGCATAGGTATATACATTTTGCTAATTAAATCCTTTTTTAAATTAATATTTTGTTGATGAAGGCTTCAGGCCATTGGTTCCAGATTAGTTTACAACACCAGGGGGCATTTGCTTAGTCGGCCTCCTCTTAGGAGAACTTTGTCCAGTCTCAAATGCCTCTGTGTAATAGATGGGGGCCCTGTCTGCTTATTTCTTTCAAGGTTTCCATTTATTTCACATCTCGTCCTGCAGACGCCTGTGTGATAATGCACACTAGCGAGATACAAAGCTTATGAGCTTTTCTTTGTGGCTATAAACTATGTTAATTTTACCCTATTGCTTGCCAAGTGAGAACAATATCAGTTATTATTTTAGCAGAAGGCAGGGACCGCATTTTTAGTTTGATAATCACTTAACTTACTTAACAGGGTGTATTTTTTTCTTTAAGTGGATAATGGCCTATTACTTTAAATTTTTTATTTCATTTTTTATATTCACAGAAAGAACTGACAGAGGAAAAGGTAAGTGTTATTTATATTAACTTGATAAATAGTGTTCATTCACCATTTCATTGCATAAGAAATTATATAATATGCACACATGTGTATTTACATATATATGTATACATACACACATATATATAAAATGCTTTACAAACCTTAAAGCCATTACATAAGTGTTTAGATGTCACTATTATTGCAATTTCTCTGTATTTTTGTTTTCTGTATGGTATAGTGGAAAAGGCAATTTATTCATTAAGAGTTTAGAGAACTGAATTATAGTTTTGTTTCTGCCTATAAACCAGTATATCATAACCTACTACAATCATAGCTATTGATATATACTACTTATGTTTTAGGCTTCAATTGTCTTATCTGTAAAATGGACAGGTAGATGACTTCCAGAGTTACAATTCCATTGTAAGCCTTCTCCCTTTATACCTGGAAAATGGAATGTTTATGAATTCCATTCCATATTACCAACTTTCAATGGACATTTCAAACTTGATGCTCTATAGGCTTCTCACATTCACCACATCCAAAACAGAACACATTATTTTCCCCTTTAAATCTGCTCCTCTTCTGAATTTCCCTATTGCTATTGAGGGCATCCTTCCATGACCTCAGGTTGCAACCTCAGCATTATCCTTGACTCATCATTCTCCTGCATCCTACTTATCTATCCAGTTTCCACATCTTGTCACTCCCACATTTTCAACATATGTCATAGCTGACCTTTTCTCTCTACTCTTCGGGCCTTATTACCTCTTTCTTGTTGTCTAGTTAAGTCATGTTCAACTCTTTGTGACTCTATTTAGGGTTTTCTTGGCAGACATACTGGAGTGGTTTGCCATTTCCTTCTCCAGCTCCTTTTACAGATGAGAAAACTGAGGCAAATAGGGTTACATGACTAGTAAATGTCTGAGGCTGAATTTGAACTCGGGTCTTCCTGACTCCAGGCCCAACAGTTTATCCACTGTGCCACCTAGCTGACCCTCATGACCTCTAGTCTGGACTGTTGGGAGAGTTTCCCAATTGATCTATCTTCTTTCTCCTATCTTCAATTCTTCCTTCATGATTGCCAAAGTGATTTTCCTGAAATATGAGTCTAACCATGTCGCTCAATGGCTGGCTCCCTATTGTCTTTAAAATAATAGTAATAATAAACGTTTATATATTGCTTACTATGTACCAAGTGATTTACTTGATCCTCACAACAACCCTGCCTAATAGGTCGTTGCTATTATTATTCCCATTTTACACATGAGGAAACTGAAGCAAACAGAAGTGAAGGGACTCACCCAGGCTCACACAGCTAGTAAATTTCCGAGGCTGACTTTGTACTTAAGTCTTCCTTACTCCTGCCTTACCTGAGCTACCTATAGGCAGCTAGGTAGAGCAGTGGATAAAGTGCTGGTCCTAAGGCCAGAAGACTCACCTTCCTGAGTTCAAATCTGCCCTCAGCCACTTACTAGTTGTGTGACCCTGGGCAAGTCACTTAACTGTTTGCTCAGTTTCCTTATCTGTAAAATGAGGGAATGTCAAACTGCTTCAGTATCTTTGCCAAGGAAAACTCCAAATGAGGTCACAAAGAGATGGACACAACTGAAAATGACGGAAAGACGTCCTTACTCCAGGCCTGCATTTTATCCACTGTCTCACATTGCAGCAAAGAAAATATTAACTTCTCCTTTGGTATCTAAAGTCCACAGCCTGACCCCAACCTGTCTCTCCAGATTTATGATATTATTTCTCCCCTTATGACTCTCTATAGGCCAAACCAACTGGCATTTTTTGCTGTTCCTCACTTAACACACTGTCTCCTGTCTCTGTCTTTGCACTGGCTAGTCCATATTCCTAAAATGCACTTCTTCCTCACCTCCACCATTTGGAATCTCTTGTTTCCTTCAAGACTTGGCTTAAGTGCCACCTTCTACATAAAGTCTTTCCTGATCATCGTTTCTTCCTCCTAGAATCCTATCTCCAGGAGTGTGCTGGTAACTATTTAACAACCAGCTCTCAGGAAATATGAGGAACATTTTTAGGTTTAATCTGCACTATTAATATTTTCTCCATCACTTTCTTAAGTCTAGGCAATCAACAAAACAATAAGACGCTTCTGATTTGTAGCATTTGCCAATTCCCAAGGTGTAAATGATCACACTAAAAACTTAATTGCTGGCTCTCCCAAGCTAGTATAAGCTGGCTCCATCCCACACCTGCCTCCCTCCCCAAATTGCCTTCTATTTATTTTGTACATATTTCTATCTACATATACATGTCTCCCCTTTACCATGTAAACTCCTTTTTTTCTTTATGCCTCCTGCACCCAGCACAGTGTTTATGCTTATTTATTGGTTGGCTATTGATATGCTTATTTATTGATTGATTATTATTGTAGTTCTTGTTGACAATAGTTTCGTGATCCTCTAACATTCAACAAGAGGTAAGGTGACATAGTGGATAAAGGACTAATCTTGTAGTCAGAAGGACCCTATATTCATTCAAGGTCTTCCTCTGACCTAGCGACCCTGGAAAAGTCACTAAACCTCTCAATCCCCTCAGGCAGCACTAAACACTAAGACTAAATGTTTGAGGTTGCTGCTGAGGGAGTTTCCATACCAGGAGTTCCCAATCCTGATGAAATTGGAGCAACTGGAGTAATTGGATATTGGAGTAATCTTTTTAAAATATTTCTTATTACTTCACAAAGCTGTAATGAAACTTATTTACTCTTCTAATTTGGAAAATAATTGCTTTCAATATAAATAGTCAAGTAAACATGTTGTCTAATTAGCGTAGTACCAGAAAGCAGTTCTCTTTTGAAGCAGCCAGTTTACAGATTTAACAGCTTTCTGAGTGGGACCTTTCTCAGTTCATTCTTTTGCTAAATGGGGCTGATACGAATTAAATTTATTTTTTCCTTGTAATGCCTGAAGTTTTTAAATATACTCATTGATTTTTCTTGGTTAATTGCTCTTAATTTCTGGCTAACTTTTTTTAAAGGCTTTTCTCTTGTTTACAGATTCAGTGTTACTGTTGTCCTTTTATTTTCTCCTTATCAATTCCATTTAAATGTCCTGATTGACAGTGGTTGTGGTTTTTTTTCAGTGCCTTCAAACTTCTGCATGCTTGTGTGAGAAAGGGGAAAGAGACTTTCCCTGCCCTGTAAGTAATTTTTAATTTTTGTGTTCTGTTTTTGTATTACAAATAAGTCTAATTAAGCCAGTTCCTTTTGGATGGCCATTATTAGTAATTAATAGGTATTATAACTAGGAAACAACACTACACAAAGTGAAGGGAATACAGAACAATTTTCCAGGCTAATCATCCAGTCCAGATGGATGCTTATGTTCCACAAGTGAATTTTTTGGCCTGAGTTTGTGTAATTAATTGCCTACATTGATAAGAATCAAGCAGATTTCCACTGACTCTCCTTTTCACTTTTGTACTGTATAGACAGGACAAAGTTTAGGTTAATATACTTCATACAGAAAACTCTACTAATTTGGCTTTTGTGAGCATTAGAAAAGACTGAAGTTTACCTCTGAATTCTAAATTATTTCTGGGGAAATATTTTAAAGGCGTAGGAGAATAACTTTTCAGGTACTTGCAAGCATTTTAGAGTCATCATTTACATACCAATAAGTATTATACACTCTAGGCAAGGCAGATGAATCATAAGCCAGACCCAGAGTTGATTGGAAGAGAGCATGGGTGGCTCGGTGGTATAATGTTCACCTGCAGGTACAATTTTCAGGGCTTGCAAGTACCTTGATGATGCAGTATAGACTGGATAGAGTGCTAGATTTAGGGCTAGGAAGACCTCAGTTCAAATCCTAAATAGTAATTAGCTGTGTGATATAGGTCAAGTCACTTAACTTCTCTGTGCCTCAGTTTCCTCCTCTATAAAATGAGGTGACTGGATTCAGTGGCTTCTAAGGTCCCTTCTAGCTCTGAATCTATGATCCTATAATCCTTTGGATTATATTAAAGTACACAGAGCTTTCAATAATGCCAAGCTGCCTCCCAACATAAAAACCCATTGTTTTGACACCAATTTTCCCTCCACAACATATTATGTTCGATTCCTTCATCCTGCTGTGAAGGTGACCCTAGGTTCCTGAAAACTAAAACAGCAAAGCCCAAGCTCTGGTAAGATCCACCATCTTAGAAAGGCTTTGTAGTGTGATCCCAGCAACAGACTCCACCTTCTTTCTAAGGAGTAGCCTAGCTAAGTACAAAGTGGGTGACTACTGGTTGATGAATTCTTGGCCCTGGTTACATGTGATACTTGGATTCTTTCGTGAGTCTGTGGTCTCATTGATGCAAGTAGTCTCTCCAACGCTGCAAATCTCAACTAATCCTCATCCTATGTAACGTTTATCCATATCCTCCCAAAAATCCTCCATAGGAAGTGTGCATGAAGGCCTTCCTCTCAATCTCTTAATACTATATAGATACCCATACCAGTCGCCCATATGTGACCTGCCACCCTCCCATTAGTGTTATGTCTGATGACATTCCTTATTGCCTTTTTCTTGGAACAGCATCTTGTTGGTAATATGTTACAACTTAATCATTTCCACCATACACCTCTTCATTACCCTTTGGGTGACCTAAAATTATAATTCTTCAAGTACTGTCACATTCTATAACTCCCAGCTTCTTCTTCCATTCCTTTTCAGTTCACTGACTATTCATAGTATCTGTCCAAGTCCAGCATACTAATGGACCAGCACTATAAATTATCCATCCAACTGTAAATCATAGAATGGAAAATAGGCATTCTTCATCCACTTGTTTTTTTCGTTGTAGATGGTTAGGTCAAACTCTTTTTTTTAGTGATTATATATATCATTTAGGAGGATGTATCATGTTTTTGGGAACTGATATAGTCAGCCAAATGTCATCTGCAAACAGAAGCATCTAGCCTTACTATTTGTAGGAAATCCTTCCATTTGGACATTGCACTGAACATTCTCCATGATAATAGCAAATACCTTTGGTATATACATTTCTCTTCCTCTGTTTTATTGCTTACGTGAAGTTAATCATCAGAGGGTAATTGAATGAAGTACTCATTGTTGTTACATTTTTCAAAAACTTAAATGATTTTGATACATACACAAGAGATACCTTTATGGTACAGTAAAGTGAGTACTAGGTCTGGAGTCAAAGACCCTGGGTTCAAATCTCAGCTCTGATGATTACTACCTGTGTGACCTTGGGCAGGTATTTAACCTCCTTGGGCCCCAGTTTTTTCATCTTTGAAATTAAAGTGCAGGACTAAATGACTTCTGAAGTCCCTTCCAATTCTTTTACTGTAATCCTATGATCTTTCAAGGCAGTATTTTGTTTTACTGAATCAAACGTTTTTTATAGTCCACAAACAATCAGAACATCTGGCTCTTATATTCTCTAGACTTCAGTCAATTATGTGACTGTAAAGTTGTGGTCTACTACAGAATATTTATTATACAAGTCTGCCTATTGCCTTTTCAAACTTTCATCCCTTCAAGGATATCCTCAAGTCAAGAGAATGTGATTCTTGCAAATATTTTGTAGAGAGGGAAGAGTAGGAATATATGGTAATGTATATTTTCTCACTCACCTTTTTTTAGGTAACAATAAGATCTAAGATTTTTTTTCCTAACTTTTGGTATCCTCTCCCTTTTAAGCATCTTGAAAATCAGTCCCTTAGTAACCTCAAAATTGTATCACAAGCAGACCAGAAATGGAAAAGATTTATCAAGATTTCTTTAAAGAACTATTTTTCTGGGGCGGCTAGGTGGTGCAGTGGATAGAGCACCGGCCCTGGATTCGGGAGGACCTGAGTTCAAATGTGACCTCAGACACATAACACTTACTAGCTGTGTGAACCTGGGCAAGTCACTTAACCCCATCGCCCAGCACAAATAAAAAACAAAATTATTTTTCTCCATCATCAATAAGAGGAACACTGCACTTGAACTTTAAAATCACAGTCCTTGCTATGCTTCATGAGGAAGTAAAAAGGACACTAAAGAAAATAAATATGAAAAAAAGATCTGAACCAGGACAAGAGAAATCCATGCCAGAGGCAACACAACTTTGAGATCATTAAGGTTTTGATTTTCAATATAGATTTAAAAAAAGGAGAGAAAACCAAAAACCTCAAAAAATCACAAATATTATTATTGCAAAAAGTGCTGATTGAGGCAATACCAATTGCTACTTTTCCATCTATACAAAATCTCCTTAAGAACAATCTATCGATAAGAATCATCATATTAAGGACAACCATTGGTGAGGTATGAAAAAAGAAACAGGTAGGCTTTTACAAGTGAAATTCTTTTTTTTTTTCATTTTATGTATTTATTACACAGATTTATTACCTCTCCCTCTCATTTCTGTACCCCAAATGAACTACTAAAAATAAAAATAAAACTGTCTTAATAAATATGTATAGCTCAATAAAACAAATTCCCACATTGGCTATGTACAAAGAAGAGGGCCTCATATTGAATTTTAAGTCTGTTTCTTTCTAGCAAGATGTACATAGCATGCTTCTTTAGTCCTGGACTCATAGTTTAGCATTGATCAGAGTTCTGAAGTCCTTTGAAGCTGTCTTTCTTTATAGAACTGTTTGTCATTATGTGAATTGCCCTCCTAGCTTTGTTCATTTCGTTGTGCGTCGGTTCATAGAAGTTTTTCAAGTTTCTTCCAAAATTGTTCATTTCATCATTTATGGCACAATAATGTTCCATTACATTCATATAACTTTCCCTGAATAGGTGGGTAGTCCCTTACTTTCCTATTTTTAGCTACTATGAATATTTTTGTATGTTTCAGTGGTTTTCCTTTTTCTTTGATTTCTCTGGGGTATAGGCCTGGAAATGTCATAGTTGGGTCAAGGGGTGTAGACAAGTTAGTGACTTTGGAGGCATAGTTCCAAATCACTTTCCAGAATGCCTTGACCAAATTACAGCTCTACTAAGTATGCCTGTTTTCTCTTAGCCTCTCCAACATTTGCCAATTTCTTCTTTTGAAATCTTTGCCAATATAATAAATGTGAAGTGGAATGTCATCATTGTTTTAATTAGCATTTTTTCCAATGATGAGTAATTTGGAGCATTTTTCATATGGGTATTGTTAACTTGAATTTCTTCTTTTGAGAACTGCCTATTCGTATCCTTTGGCCATGTATCTATTGGGGAATGGCTCTTAGTCTTAAGTTTACTTTAGTTCCTTATGTATCTCAGATATGAGATGTTTATCAGAGAAGCTCGCTACAAAGATTTTTTCCTGGTTATATATTTCCTTTCCAATCTTAAGTACATTAATCTTATTTGTTCAAAATTTTTTTCATTTTCTATAATCAAAGGTGTTCATTTTATCTACTATGATCTTCTCTATCCCTTGTTGATCATTAGCTCTTTTCCTGTCTGTAGAATTAAAATAGAATTTCTTCCTTGCCCATCTAATTTATTTATGTAACCAGGGCTCAAGCCTAGTAATTTGCATAAGACTCTCCTCATTGGTAGATAGACTGATTTACTCCATATTCCAAACCTGCATGAGGAGTAGAGTTAGCAAGAGCTTGAGAGAGGAGAGAGCACAGTCTTCTGGCTTCAAGAGAGGAAACACACAGTTCCAGACTCTATTCAAGTCCCTAAAGGGAAAGAAAGTCTCTGGGAAGAAGATGACACATAGAGAAGCAGGTACCTTGAAAAAGGTCCCAATCCTCAACTTGCCACACTAGACAGAGACTTTGGGGAATTTCACCTTACATTGTGAACTAACTCTGCTTCTCTCTCTGAAACAGGTCACTCCCAGTGGGAGTGATCATTTATTCTATATTGCCTGGTATACTCTTATCTGTATAATATCTTTGATTTCTTTTTGTTTGGAAAAATGGATTTGGGAAATTATTCCTTATACTTTATATCTTCTCTCCACCTCAACATTAGTCCAGTGACTCTGTCCTCCTTGCTATTTCTCAAATAAGACACTCTATCTTGTAGCTCCAAGCATTTTTACTGGCTAACTACTTCCTATTTATACTATATATAATTTGTTTGCACATAATTATTTGCTTGTTGTCTACCTGATTAGACTGTGAGCTCCTTGAGGGCAGGAACTCTCTTTTGCCTTTCTTTGTATCCTTCACACTTAGCACAATGCCT